TAAACTAGTTCATGAGTTATTTGCTCTGCCCTAACGCACCTTAATCCGTTAGGTGGCGACTCTTCAAATCTCTTACCCAATTCCCAAAAGGAAAGGAGTTATCCCAAAATATCGAAATCCGGACTCCACGAGGAAAAAGGGGGCGCGACAACCATAATAATATCAACAATAATAAGTAAATATATGTTGCAGCGTGAAACCCGATCCCACCATATAATCAGAATCAATATCATAATTCACCCTTATTTTACCATATCAATCCACCCTTATTTCACCTGTTGCGGCGCGCAACCCGATCCTACCGTGTCAATATAAATTCACCCTTATTTCGCCATATATATCCATTCTTATTTCACCTGTTGCAGCGTGCAACCCGATTCCACCGTACAGTATGAATAAATCAGTAAGTGCAATTAATTTAACAACTCAAATCACAAGAATCCTCTACGATTAACGGATATGAAGCAGAACCAGAAAGGAAATCTCGTCTCCAATTAAGAATTTACTATGTTTAATACTAAACAGTAAGACAGATCAAATAAATGCCAACTAAAGGGTACAAGTAAGTCAATTAAGGCAAGTAGCAGTAAATCATGGAAGCATGGGAGAATCTAACATTTTTAACACGAGAATAATATTGACAAGTAGCAAATAGAGGCATGAGAAGCATTTAAAGCATGTAACAGTTAAGGCATGAAATGAAATAATTAATGAAATGCGGAAAAACAGGGAAACAAGTATTTTGGCGGCGTATATACACTCGTCACTTCGCATATACGCCGCAACACATGAATTTCACATAGCACATAGCTCAAGGGTTTCTAATTCCTTCAAATCAAGGTTAAACCCAATACTTACCTCATTCCGCAATCAACTCAGAGCTCTGCCGGGGCCTTTTCTCTAGAATTCGTCTCCAAACCAACTGAATCAAACCAAAATCGACTCAATAACATCAAATAATGTTAGGAAAATCGATTACAATATATAAAGTTAAGAATTTTTACACTTTTTCCAAAAAGTCAACAAAAGACAACCCCGGCTCGCTTGGTCAGAACCCGAGATTCGGACCAAAACTCATTTACCCATTCATCCCCAAGCCCGATTATGTAATTAGTTTCGAAATCCGAACCCAAATTTAGGACTTAATCTCCAATTTTCAAAAAAAATACCCCAATTCTTCTCAAATTCTTAATTTCTACCATGAAAATCCTAGATTTAATATTGAAAACTTGTGAAATGTAACGGGAAATTGAGAGAAAGTAGATTAAGGTCACTTACCAATGAATTTAGGAAGAAAGGTTCTTGGGAAAATCGCCTCTAGGGTGCTTGGGGTTGAGAATTTGAAAGAATGAGCTAAAATCTCGTCTTTCCCTTCTTTTGTCCGGGCGCAGATATCGCAATTGCGACCTGGGGTTCGCAATTGTGAACCACGCAAATGTGAGAAAGCCTTCGCAAATGCAAAGATTCCCCATCTCTGCTGCCATCGCAAATGCGATGGGTTTGTTCGCAATTGCGACCGTTTGATCGCAAATGGGAACCACTCTCCCTCAGTACCCCTTCGCAAATGCGAACTTGACAGAGGAAATGAATGTTCCCAAATGCGAACATTGACCTCGCAATTGCAAGATTAGAGGTTGCACGAGAACCAGATTTTCACCAGCTATTTTTCTTAAGTCCAAACCACTCCGAAACCTATCCGAAACTCACCCGAGCCCTCAGGGCTCCAAATCAAACATGGACACAAGTCCAAAAACTTCGTACGAAATCGCTCGCGCGATCAAAATACCAAAACAACACCTAGAACTACGAATCAGACACCAAAATATATAAAATTTTCAATGAAACTTGAGAACTTTCATTTTAACAACCGGACGTTCGAATCACGTCAAATGAACTCCCTTTTGCACCAAATTTTGCAAACAAGTCATAAATACAGTAATGAACTTATACCAAGTTCAGGAACCAGAATCCGGACCCGGTAGGCCGGTGGTAGCAATAAAGTCAAACTTCGGTCAAACTTGAATTTTTAAACCTTTAAGCTTCTAATTTTCAACAAATTGCGATAAATCAAGATAGGGACCTCCGAATTCGATTCAGGACATATGCCCAAGTCCCAAATTACGATACGGACCATAAAAAATACAGATCCGTGTCTGTTTGCTCAAAACGCTGACCAAAGTCAACTCAAATGAGTTTTAAAGCACGATTTCACATTTTAATCAATTTTTCACATAAAACCTTCCAAAAGAAGACACAGCCTGCGCACGCAAATCTAAGAAGGCTAAACAGAGCTATTATAGGTTTCAAAACACATATTTAAGGGTTAAAATTATAAATGACCTATAGGGTCATCATATGTGAAAACATTTTTTAAAAATTTAATGCGGTTGCGGGGCGGTTGCGGGTGAGGTACTTTTGACTAGTACCATCGTGAATTTGCTGCTTTTCTCACAAAACTATGGTTCTTCCATTGGCTATCAGTCATATATAAGTGATTTTTTTTAATAATGAAAATGTTCATTTGACAAGAAAGACTTAAAAATCTGAAAGATGATTACTAGACTTTCATAAATACAAAATCATATTTTCGTTCAGCTGCTCCAGACAAAATACACCAAAATCTTATTTTTTGTGTAAAAGAAACTCTGCAATTCACCAAAAATTCTTAGATAGTATAGATCACGTGTCGATTGCAGTGATCTTTGATAATTTTTAACTGAATTTGTCTCATAGATCAAACTATTGTTTTCTCTTTCTTATAATTTTATGTATTTAAATGAGAACGAGAAGCTTTAGACATAATATAGTAATAGGGAAAAATTACTCATTAAAATTGAGATAATAGAGAAGTTTTGCTCTCCGGGGCGGGGCGGGTTTATGCGGGTCGAGGCGGAGCAGATTAAAACTAAAAATTATGTTATGCGAGACGGTGCGGGACGGGTTAAAATCTTTGCGAGTTAAGATTGAACACGCACCGCAACCGCCCTGCCCGCCCCACTGCCATATCTATTTGGAGGCAAAGTTCTTAGTTTAGCTACACCATTCGAGGCATCTTTAACATTTAATTATTGATGCAATCAAAGATTAGCTAATCATAAGCCAAGTGACACTTGGATTACCACCAACACATATGGTGGCATGGTTAGGTTGCTTCTATCCTTGACCATAATTTTAGGGTTCGAATTTTGAGAATAGAAAAATTTCTAATATAGAGCACTAGTTGGTATTTCCTGCCGTCTATAATAAGTGTTCTTTGAACCTTTGACACATCTCTTAAAAAAATATTAACTACTAGAAGAAAAAAAGGTGTTTTGACTAAATTGCCATAAATTAAATTTATATATTGTTAACTTGACTCATTGTGATATGTAAATAAGGACAAATTTGAAAAAAATAAAGTTAATTTCTTCTTAATTATGAAAAAAGGACACTTATTTTTTACTAAAATAAAAAGGCCAAAAGATCACTTATTGTGAACCGGATGGAGTACCAAATATGAGATTGTTAAACAAAAAAAAGGATGAAAACAATGACAGAGAACAAGAAACGCATTCATATTGAAGGAGACTAAGGTCTTATCCTCAGTTACAGACATGAATCTAATGAAGTCTATTATCACCTTTCATTTTCTTTCATCTCATGATGTCCTAATCTATCACTGATAATCTGAAAATTGACCAATTTTCACTGATAGTGTAAAAACGTGACCATCCAGGAAATAACGTAGAACAACAAGATCAGGATAATGTGAAAACTTGGCCAATTTTCAAATGTATATTTGTTCTAACAATCACAACATCTTTTCATCTGGCCCACTGTCCAAACTTTTGTCTCTTCATAGAGCCATAGGACAGCATCAGCTTAATTTGAGTCGATACGGAGTTTAAAAAATAGAGAAACTTTTGAAATTTGAAATGTTAAATATGTTCGGGTATTTGTGTGACTATAAAATCACATATAAAAATAAAATTGAAAGCTTAAAATTAATTTTTTTTGTTAAAAAGAGAAAGAAGTCATTTTGTAGAACATACAAAAAATAAAAATAATCTCGTATAAAATGGAAAGGTGTCATTTTGTAGAACATACAAAAAATAAAAATATTAGGCGTATGATCTTACCATCTGAACTCCATGACTTTTACGCTCACCATCTGAGTCAAGAGAAAAGACCGAAAGGACAGAATTATTGACAATCTTTTCTTTTGTGCACGACTTAGAAAAATCACAGCCTAAACATTTTGGGTGTGTTATTTTCTAGTGTTTGATATATACAATGGACGTCATTTTTCATCAAAAGGAGGAAAACAATTTTCCTCACTATGTACAACTATCTTAATCTTTAATTTTATAGTATTTGCTTCAAATTAACACTTATACATTATTATTAATCTCATTAAACTCTCCAATTTGTCAATATTATTAATTTACATTTTTTCAAAAAAAAAAATATTCCACTCACCAGCCAAACAGAAAACAATATTCATGGCAAAGACTTCCATCATACGAAATACCCAAATTTTCGGAAAAACGTTTCTTGAAAAATATTTTCCATAAAAAAATAAGTGATTTTCTCATATATTTTCCGTTAATTCCTATATTTTCTGGTGTACGTTTGTAATAGTGAGTATCACAAAACAAATGTTCTCACCAATGAATTAAAGCCCTCTTGTTAGCCATACTCGTGCAAATAATATTCTGGATTCGGGGCGCAGCTTCTTCACGTGTTTATTTATTTATTTGATTTTTAAATTCCCTTGGTGAAATCCTACTTCTGCCCCCTGCACAAACCATGCTTTAATATTGCATGTGTCTATACCTAGATTGCTATCAACTTTGACTAAGAAAGAAACAAAAGTAGTACTCATTATCTTCCCAATAATAAAAAAGTAAGTGTATCTAATACCAAGATTATAATAATAAGCAAATAACAACCTGCTTTATTTTGAAAGAATAATTTGATGAGATTATGTTTATTTGAAAAAGTCATGAGCCTTTCTGTCTCTAAACCACATTATAAATAGAGTTTCTTGTCCATCTTTTCTCCTCATCCTGGAGTTAAACAAAACACAAGAAAAACAATGAATTCCATTTTTCCTCTTTGCTTAATTCTCTCTCTTTTTCCTATATTTGCAACTCCAACTTTGTTGTTTCAGGTATTCCAAGAACCTTTCCTCAAATTTTCTCACATGTATATATATGTATCTCTATATTTGTATACTTATTCAAATATATATATATATTAGTGTTCATTTGTTTCTTTTTTTGTAATGAATTTTAGGGGTTCAATTGGGAATCAAGTAATCAGCAAGGTGGATGGTACAACTCTCTTATCAATTTAGTTCCAGATTTGGCAAAAGCTGGAGTTACTCATGTTTGGTTACCACCATCATCTAACTCAGTTTCACCTCAAGGTAATTGATCTCCTGCCTTACATATACTCCCTCTGTCCCATTTTAACTGTCGTTTTAGTCCAAGAAAAATGTCTCAAAAAAATGTCGGTTTAAAAGATCACGAGAGAATTAATATCTTTCCGATCTTCCCCTTGCTATTAAATCCCACTTTTTCAATAGTAGCATTTAATAGTCGGGAAATAGATAAGGGTAATTTAGTAAATTATATTTTGTACTTGAATGTTTTTTTAATGGACATGCTAAAACCTTAAACGACATTTAAAAATGAGACAGAGGGAGTAATAAAGTTATCACTTTTTATTGAATGCACACATAAAAGTGGGACCGGCGTGTGTGACCTATCAATCAATGAAATTGGAAAAATTGTTGAAGAGCAACGTTTAAATCCCATTAAAGACAAAAAAAATGCTTGTTGATCTAAAATTTTAATTAAGTAAGCCCATAGTTCAGTGAACCTCTTATTCTTTCGTGTGCATACTTAATATAAATCTATACTCTTATAATTTTTAAAATAGTTTGAATTTAGATTGAGGCGTTGTTAAATAATTGAAGACTGGAGTTTGATCTAATTGTTCTATATATTACATGCATTTTACATGTTTGAAGAATTGCCCAAACTAAGACAGATTATAGTTGTTGCAAATGAGATTACTTAAATGCTAAAACCATCTTTTTTTGCTAGGTTATATGCCAGGAAGATTGTATGACTTAGATTCATCCAAGTATGGGAATCAGCAACAACTGCAAGCTCTTATTAAGGCTTTACATGATCAGGGAATAAAAGCTGTTGCTGATATAGTAATAAACCACAGATGTGCCGATAAGCAAGATAGCAGGGGAATATACTGCATCTTTGAAGGCGGAACGTCTGATGATCGTCTTGATTGGGGTCCGCATATGATTTGCAAAGGCGACACGCAATATTCTGATGGCACGGGGAATGATGACACCGGTTTAGACTTTGCAGCTGCACCTGATATCGATCATCTTAACCCTCAAGTCCAAAAAGAGTTATCAGACTGGATGAATTGGCTAAAAACTGAAATTGGATTTGATGGTTGGCGTTTCGATTTTGTTAGAGGGTATGCTCCTAGTATCACCAAGATTTATATGGAAAACACTTCCCCGGATTTTGCAGTTGGTGAATTTTGGAACTCTATTGCCTATGGCGGGGATGGAAAACCGGACTATAACCAGGATAATCATAGGAATGAGCTAGCCGGATGGGTTCAAAATGGCGGTGGAGGTGTAACAGCTTTTGATTTCACAACTAAAGGAATTCTTCAAGCTGCTGTTGAAGGGGAGTTGTGGAGATTGAAGGATTCAAATGGTAAACCTCCTGGTTTGATAGGTATTTTGCCTCAAAATGCTGTGACTTTTATCGATAATCATGACACTGGATCGACACAAAAGCTTTGGCCTTTCCCTTCAGACAAAGTTATGCAAGGTTATGCATATATTCTCACACATCCAGGGATTCCCTCAGTGGTAAATTTATCTTCTTTTCATCAAATTTTGTTCTATGCATTTCTGAGTAAGTCCATTTTGCAAGAAATTTATGTTCATTTCTTGTTTTCTGGTTGCAGTTTTATGATCATTTCTTTGATTGGGGACTAAAGGACGGAATTTCTACGTTGGTGTCAATAAGGAATAGGAATGGAATATCTGCAACAAGTAATGTGCAGATAATGGCTGCTGATGCTGATCTTTATGTAGCAATGGTTGATCAGAAGATTATTGTGAAGATTGGTCCAAAAACTGATCTTGGAAGTCTTATTCCACCTAATTATCAGGTGGCAACTTCTGGACAGGACTATGTTGTATGGGAGCAAAAGTCATAAACAAATTGCATGCATTTGCTCTTAGAAACTTTTACCAGTAGTAATTTATCATACAAGAAGTGACCATGGGAAAAAAGATCAAACTTTTATATGAAATTCAATGGAGCCTGGCTTGTTTTAGCTACAATATGACGCAAATTTAATCATAGAATTCAATATAATTTCTTCCTTTGTGGTTCGTGATAATGTCTTCAGTCTAAACTTTTGCATTGAACCAACTCTTCTGCTTCAAGTTTTTTAGTCCTTAAATTGAAATTGAAGAGCTGCAGATTAATCCATAGCGATCCAACCAGCTATTAGTTAGTAAGGCGAAATACTGTGAGAAATCTAACCATTGCCAACAGTATATTTTTACAAGTTTGTTATCGCGATTGCAATACCAGATATTGCATCGAGTAGGCCCACTAAGAGGGCGAAGCAATTCGTACTAAGAAGTTTTTCATTCGCAAATCGCAAGGCTCAAACCCGAGAGAGATCCCAACCATCCCACCACACTCCTTAATTATATGTATTTAGCATTTTCAAATCCAGTAAATTGGGTAGGTGGAGTTGCAAACGGACCTGATCTGGTATATTTAAGGTTCATTTCCAATGACAGGATTCAATATCTAATTAAAATCTAATATCTCTTGTAGAAATGCAGGGTAAGGCTGCGTACAATAGATCCCTGTGGTCCGCGCATAGTGAGTTTAATACACCGGGTTGCCCTTTTTTACCACGAAGAAAAAGAAAAGAAGAAAAATATTGGAAGTTCCATTCTACTAAGACTTTAGCTAACATGAGTTGAATATACTGCTTAAACCAGTGGGTGAGAAAAACTTTAATTCACAGCAGAAACTTTATCGGTCAAATTTACGGCTAAATTACAATCAGGGTCTTTTGGTTTGAAGACAAGTTAGGTTGAGATTAGTTATACTAGAATTAATTATTTTGGTATTATTTCTTATTGATTGTTTAACATGTTGTATTAATTCTGAGATTATCAAATTTACTGATTAATCCTTAGATTACTGACAGGTATAAGTTATCCGGTACTATTTTACTTCTGATATAACTTATTCCAGAATTATTAACCAATTAAGGAATAAGACAGTACTAAATTTTTATCCCAAAATTATTTTTGTTTATTCATCGTACCAACCGAACCTCTTAAGGTACGTGTTTTCCTTGTCCATGATCTCTTTGAAAAGTACTGCATACTATGTTTTTGCCAGATGTTTGTATCTACCAATACTACAATATCACTCTTTCATAATTTTCTACACAAAAGGGCATTTAGTTAAGATTTTTATCACTTAAACACAGTTTAGCAGCCTCTACAGTTGTGTTGACTTAGTCAATAGTGTAATTTCTAGTATACATTAATTTTGAGAAGTCTTCCATATAGGCTATCCACCACCCTATTTATAATCATCTTATTTCAGAATTCATTAACGTACAAAAACAGAAAAATGGAAAACAAAACAAACATAAACCTCATTTTCTCTGTGTATCTTTTGTTGATTCTTTTGCCTGCATTTGCATCTTCTACTTTGTTATTTCAGGTACCCAAGAAAAAAAAAACTTTCTAGATATATGAAACAAATCCATTTATGTGCAGAAACATACTTTGTGTAGTATTTTTTGTGAAGATGAACCAGTGTAATGATATTATTTAGCAATTGTCATTAAAATATTCAACTAAGTACTAGTAGGTATAATATGTTTTTTTATTTTAATTTATAAAACAGGGATTTAACTAGGATTTGTCGGGGCAAGATGGAGGATGGTGGAACCATCTTATAAAATTAGTCCCAGATTTGGCTGATGCTGGAGTTACTCATGTTTGGCTTCCCCTGCCTCAAATTCCCTTCAAAATCACAGCCAAGGTACTCATCAATATTTCCTTGTGTTTCAACTTTCACACCCACTAGACCACTACTAGTTCAGTAGATTTAACTTACATACATCGAAAAGAATTTTAGACTATCGGTGTAACTTAACATGTTATATATATATATATATATATATATATATATATATATATATATATATATATATATATATATATATTTTCTAGGTATCTAGATCTATTTATTATGGACAATTACTTGTAAACATTTATGCTTCAAAAAGGCAGGGTCGGTTCTAACGTTATCAAGTAAGGCTTGTGCCTTTGCCCCCCACATTTTGGGAGGAGGGGGGGGAGATATATTTATAAAATAATAGGTTTATAAGTATTATTAAAAATAATATTTAGTACTTTTAGTATAAAAGTAGAGTTTTTCTATTACAATTGTCTCAAAGAAAAGAAATTTTTCAAAATTATAATTGATAAAATTTTACCTAAGATTAACAATGTCTAAAGAAAGATTAAGTGGGTTGGAAATATAATTAAATAAAAAGGAATTATTAGAGAAAAGTTGATTATAAAAAAAATAATTAATAACGTTGCATCTCAAAAAGCAAGAAAAATAGACTTTAAAAAAAATATATATCATAACTTTCTTTTAACACACTTAGGCCTCACATTAAACTTTGGCTTTAGGCTACACATGTGCTTGAACTGCCTCTACACAAAGGTAGTAATGAAACATCAAACAATTTCTTTAGAGTCCTCTCACTACCAACCAACAGACATCATCTGGATGGGTCTTGCCGGTATCAACAACCAAATGGAAACAACAACTAACTATGGTTCTTGGCCTAGACAACGTCCTAGGCGTATGGGCGATCGGAGCAACAGGGAACGCCTAGACGTCGTTTTTATTCGTGGACTGCAGTAAGCAGATCGAGAGGTCGTTCCGCCCCTTGTCCCCGAATATGGGGAATATGCCTACCATTTGACCTATTATTTTCAAACTTGTATGTGGACCTTAGACAATTTGTGCAAAACACTTATGTTTTTCTCAATTTGACAGGGTATATGCCATCAAGATTGTATGATTTGGACACATCAAGCTATGGCAATTCAAGAGAACTTAAAGCCTTAATTAAGGCATTCCATGATCAAGGAATCAAATGTCTTGCTGATATAGTGATAAACCATAGATGGGCTGAAAACAAAGATAGTAGAGGAATCAACTGTTTATTTGAAGGTGGCACGCCTGATAATAAGCTCGATTGGGGTCCGACCTTCATTTGTGGCAACGATACTAAATTTTCCAATGGCAAAGGGAATACTGATACTGGTTTAGATTGGGGAAATGCACCAGATATTGATCATGCTAATCCACAAGTGCAAAAGGATTTATCAGATTGGATGAATTGGCTCAAAACTGAAATCGGATTTGATGGTTGGAGATTTGACATGGTCTTACGATATGCACCTAAGTTCACTAAAATCTACATGGACAATACTAAACCAGATTTTGCTGTTGGAGAATTTTTCTTGAAATTTAATAATAAACCGGATGGGAAACCGGACTATGATCAGCATAGAAATGATTTAGTTCATTGGGTTCAGAATGCGGGTGGTGTTGTGACAACGTTTGATTTTACGACGAAAGGGATTCTTGGTACTGCTGTTGGGGAAACAAGATTTGATTTGTTGAAAGATTCTAAGGGAAATCCTCCTGGAATGATTGGTATTTTGTCTCAGAATGCTGTGACTTTTATTGATAATCATGATACTTATTCGCAACAACAATGGCCATTTCCTACAAATCCAAATGATAAAGTTACTCAGGGATATGCCTATATTCTAACTCATCCTGGAATTCCATCAGTAGTATAATATTTCTTCTTTAATCTATTTTAGCTTTTGCAGTTTTTCTATACTAGTTGCTATAATAGGGCAAAAATGTAATGATTTAGATTAAAATAGGACGGGTTGCGCGTTACATCTGATAGAAAACTGTTATAAAAATGTGAAAACAGAAAACGGTAAGATAAAAGGTTCCAAACCTAACAGAAAAATGTGTTTCCTTAAGGAATTTAATCCCCTAATAATTGCCCAACATTTTGGATTTATTCTTCCTAGGATAGAACGACACACTATCTGTAATACTGGCAATATAAATTACATAATTTCAGCGAATTCACAAATGGAAGCAAATCACACACTCGACGTTTACGTTTTTAAAAGCAAAAACTATGCAATATGTAGAACAGAGAGCGGAGAGTGCTTTTTGAAAATTGATTGCTTGAATAAGAAAAAAAACATCAAGTTTCATCTAATTGAAGAGCACTATTCTTTTGTGTTGTGCAGTTCTATGACCATTTCTTTCTGTTCCAAGGGATGAGGAAACCAATCAAAGATTTGTATGCAGTTAGGAAGAGGAATGAAATTTCTGCAACAAGCAAAGTGAAAATTTTGGCAGCACAAAATGATATTTATGTGGCAAACATTGATGACAAAATCATTGTCAAAATTGGACCTGGCAATGTTGGAAATCTTGTCCCATCTAATTTTCAATTGGCAACATCAGGGGTTGACTATGTTGTATGGGAAAAGAAGGCATAAGTTAATGGAGTGTCTAATATGTATGAATAATACTAGCATTAGTATCAAGACATCATGAAAAAATAAGGTTGATGACTATGTCCAAAATTTTTAATTTGTATTGTGTGTAAAAGTACCAATATCTAGGGATAATTAGTGTTGCAATAAGTCATAAAATGATGATACAAAAATTCTATGAATAAGAGGAGAGACAATTCATGTGTCTATTTATTCTGATTTAGCTCCTCTTTCTGTAGCGCCTGCAATGCATTTTCGACACTATTATTTCTTATATTTTAAAGCTCACAATCCTTATTAGTTAGTATTCCTAATGATTAGATTTCTATGATTCTGGTAGAAAATAAGATATTCAAGTAAATAACTTTATAGTAAATGACTATTCATCTATTGTATTTTCATTCAGAGGGGGCAAGAAAACTCTATAGAAATTAGAAAGATAGTGGCTTAATTCGATGTTATTTAAGCAGTTCAAGTGCAGGTGTGGCTAGGGCTGCTTATCAGGCGGATTGGGCGGTTATTTACTCTTAACGGTTTGGCTTATCGGTTATCGGATGTTAAATGTATTAATCCGCTAGCCACCCGATAAGATATCGGGCGGATTGGTATCAGTTTAGCTCTTATCGGGCGGTTATCGGGCGGTTTATTGGCCTAATTCAATCTATATTGCGTGCATTAATTGTTTGCTGACAGCCTTGCATACAAATTCAGAATAGAAAATTACACATTGAGTCCAG